AAAAAAAAAAAAAAAAGAGAAGAAGAATTGTAGTAAAATGTAAATTTTTCTTACGGTGTAATATACAATGAATTTTTTTTTTTTTACGACAGAAATCTCCTTTATCATAATTATAATTTTTTTGCTTATATCTGCTTAATATATCTTTTGCCTTACTTTTAAAAAGTATAAACTATAGAAAGGTGCAAAAAAAGAAAGAAAACAGTTTTTGTTTTTTTTTTTTGGTTCTTATTGTTTTTTTTTGAAAGCTTTTAGCCGATAAGGTTACAAGCGATTCAGCAAAATTTGAACTATTTTTATGTTCCACACGAATTATTCCTTATTGCTTTTTTTTTTCTTTTCTTCTTAAGCTTTTTCTGCGATGAACAGATTTCTGTATGAACCATCTTTTTTGACCTTTTGATTTCTCAGGTTTAGCAATTTTTTCCTTATGTTTAAGTTCCCAGTTTATTACCATTTATTCCTCTTTCCCCTGTTAGTTTTCATTTCTTTGTCTTATTAACTTATTAAATTGTTCAATAAAAGAGATAAAGAATAAAAAAACACTCAGAATAAACGATTATTTATGTTGAAAGAGCTGAGATTTTTGAAAACAGATTTGCTTTCAAAAATTTTGACCATTTTAGGCTTTTCTTTCTTTTGACCATCCACCGCTTTTCTTTCTTCTTCGTCATCTTCTTCTGCTTTATCTTCGTGCTTCTTCTTCTTCTTCTTCTTCTTCTTCTTCTTCTTCTCCGTCCCCTTTGGTTTTATAAAATGAACATATTTAAAATTTTAAAAAATTGCACAACCCTTTGATAATTGTTCGCTGACTTTTGCTTTTCCCCTGCCGTCTATAAAACGTTTTTAGCGTACAAAATAAGACTACAGTGGGATTTAAAGGATAATTTGCATAGAATGCAATTTGTTTTTGAATGTTATTTGGTGATGTTCTGATTTGTTGGCACTATACAATAGTTTCCATATTGATGATGGACGGAAGTTTTAGTTTCTGAATCATCAATAGTGCCAAATATTTTGATGTTCAATGTTAATATCGGTGTTATTTGTTGTTGTTGTTGTTGTTGTTGTTGTTGTTGTTGTTGACAGTCAGCTCTAAAGCAGTATTTGGTTAACTTTTCAGTACTTTTAAATCATTTGGTTGCCATTTAATTTTACTGTTTCAATATGCTTTTTCTGATTTTCATTCATTCATCGTCAGTTTTAGCACAGTAACAATTGAAGCGATTTGTTAAAATGCAAGAATCTAAATGAGCAAATTGTCAAAAGAGCTCTGT